ACACTAGCTAACCTCAAAATCATAAACTTATACAACTATTATATTTTCATCGAGCGTAACATTTTTTGACGATTTATGAGTATATATTCAACCATCACGGTGCTTTCACGCCCCGTTGAAACTAACACAAAAAACAGAATGTTATGCAATGGTCTTCATTTATGTACGTTCACGTTGTTACTGATCGATAAAAATTTATATGTCAAAAGCACGAAGAAAAAAAAAACACATATTAGAATATATATATATATATATAGATTATGAATTACTTTAGTTTTAAATTTTTAAAAACCTTTTTCTCAAAAAAACCAGACAAACTATTCCATCTTAGATATTCCCCACAAGTTGGGTGGCACTATTAATTATCTTTTTGTCGTTTTATCATCTTTTTATTTGTTCTTAGCTTAATTTTATTCGAAAGTTTTTTTTTTTTTTCTTAGTGGTCCATCCCATGTTCCCCTTCGCTTTTGGCACCAAACATTTCCTATAGACACTTCAAAATATTTGTGTTAGGTTTTTTGAAATTAATTATGCAACAAATGTTTCATTATAGTTTTCTTTATTTCTAAGAAAAATAATGTGAGTGTAAATAGTTCCAAGGATAAATCATTTTCTTTCTAAAATTTCTTATACTACTACTACATACACATAGACACATATGCAATCATCATTGGATCAAGATTCAAGTCAAAGATATGGTCATATGATTGACACCTAATAAAGAATCATTATATTAATGGATCCAATGCTTAGCTTCTTCATATATCTTCTTACAATATATCCATATAATCTAGCTAGTGTTGTATAATTGTTTTTTTTTCGTAATACTATCAAAGATGCTCATTATTTTGCATCTCAATAATCGAAATAAGCTCATAGACATCACATGTTTTCCATTTTTTTTCCTTTCAAAACAACCATCACATGCAAAGCATCACAATTATGTTCTTTATTTCCTACAAATAACGATTTGGCGAGAAACAGTAGTAACCAAAAGTCTATAAACTCTGTATTGTTGGCGTATGTAATAAATCCATGATGCTATGTGTTTCCAAATGAATCAATCCACAGAGTAGTTTACTGTAACTATCAAGGATATGATGATAATTTCATAAATTTATATCATCAAAACTCCAAAACGTGAGCAATCTTTAAACATGCCATCACTGCTTGGCTTGGCCAGGAGAAGAAAAATGAGAGAAAAAGAGCATGAGCATGTGGCCTACTGTGTTTCCCTCTATAAAATTAATTTTTTCAAAAAAAAGTTTTGATAAAAATAAAATGTATAGGTGGGAAAACAAAGAATCTACAATAAATCAGTGCACATGGAGAGTCTATTCTACATAAGGGAGGGTATTCAATTTCATACCAGACAAGGATAATATTTGGCCTTTCCATCTGTTCGAACATGACTCGAGTTACAGCATCTTATTGTACGTATAACTGTGTATATATAGTATGAATGAAAACATATATCTTAATATAAGATGAGGACATCGAAAAATTGTAACCAAGATTGTGGCAGTCTTCTCAATCACATGATTTGTGTTTGTGCTTTTGTGACTACTAACTACTTTAAAGATATTCTCTTTTTAAATCAGTAAAAAAAATTCAGCAAAATCCACTATATAGTATATATGTCAATTATTAATGGACCTTCAAGGCATAGCCATAGACTATAAAAAGAGCCTAAAGAGTGTTAGTTATAAATTAGTAGTACTTCCTTGTGTCATCATCATCATTAAACCTAGCTAATCATCATCATGCCAACCAATAAGGGTTAGTAAAGATATAAAAAGAACTCAGAAAGCATTTGGTCATAGCGTGAACCTGAAAGCAATCATGAGATATGCATAAAATGTTAAATTTCATAATCTTGGAAAAGAAATACACCATTGATCATGTTTTCAGCGATATGATTGCATAAGTACGAGAAAATGGTTAGTAAAACACGAAAATATGTGCATTGCTATCAATTTTCTTACGGTAACACACACACACACACACATAATAAAAAGGTACTATATATATATGAATGAGGTATATATGAACATCATAATGTGTATGTATTTGGAGACGCACGTATGGATGTAGAGCAAATGGTAGGGTAAAATGGGGATGCATGGTCTGTATTTGTAGAGAAATGAAATCATGAAAGTGAGATATACATATATAAGACAGCAAAACAAAAGTGGGTCACTTGGAAAAGATCCCAACGTAGAGCACATAATATTAGATGTCTCTTCTTTGTTGGACACCAACCCCAGTTCCGCACACCTCTTTGTCGTTCTTCCCATCACCTTGTTTCGTACTCTCAACCGCACCATCACAACTCAATATTTGTATATATGTATATTTCAACTTTGATATATAAACCATTAACAATAAGGACTATATGATAATACATAGGTAATTTGGTATATTGGTTTTAATACACTTGCATTGTTTGCAGGCTTACAAGTTTAATTAGTTGAACTTTGGATTTTGTTAATGAAAGAACCAGAGAATTTTGATGAAATATAGACTGATCAAGTTATCTAATTTTCAGTTTATGTGGTTTATTTAAATACATACTCTGATTTTGCTATATACTAGCTTTATTTTATAATTTAAATAACATAAGAAAACATAGTATGTATATTAAAAATTAACAATATATGGGTATATATGTACATACTTTTATATGTATATGATGAGCACATCCATATTGAAGAGTATTGAGTGGAGAAACGAAAGAAGGACAAGTTGAATAAGAAGGCACCAACTCTTATGGACCTACTTTGCTTTGCATCTATGCTTCCCGCTTTCAATTCCTCAAGTCGTCGTGTTAATTTACAAGTCATTGCGTCACTGCACAATTTCCTCGCCAATCAGGTTTATCCTTTTCATTAATTTGGCAAGACAAAATTTGTATTTATCGAATTAAAATAAAAGCAGAGGTTATATTCAAGTTGCCAAGTGAATAATATATACATGCGTATCTATGCGGATGTATTTTTTATTTTTTTTTGTAAACCTCTATGCAGATTTATATGTGCCCAAAAATGTGTGTTGGTTAGAAAAGGAACTAGTGAGGGAAAATCTTTTGTCAGAAACGAACTGAATGAAGAAATTAAATGTAGCATTCAAAAGCTAGCTAGCTATGAATTCGACGGGGACCAATTCATTGTTTACTTTCGAAAAAAGTTATCAACTTAGAATAATTCCGCCTCAACTATATATGAATAACTCAAGTAAATTATATGACTGTACTATACATTTACACGAGGATCCATGTATAGTGTTGCTATCTACCATATCGCTACGCTATGTCGGGGTTCGAGATTGATTCTATGTATACGTAGTATTTATAATTTCAGATAGAGAGGCCTTAGTTTACGTAATCGATCTCTCTCTTGGTTGTCTTCTCGCTTGGTATGTAGAGTAAGCATTTACTCTTCTTTTTTTTCTTTTTCAAAATGATTCGAATCTAAACGCAAGTGTCAAGAGTTGATAAGAAGGTATTAATAGCACGTGGCGACATTAACTTAGTGTCTAATAAGTAGAAGACAACGTCGTTGTCTTTCCCAATTCCATTGTCCTAATTTTAGGGCAAGAGTATGTATGAATCGAATGCTCGCGTCGTTTTCTCTTAAGTCTAATTTCAATTATTGACTTGTTTGTTACGTAACTTTCGTTCCCTGTAGTCTTATATAAACTACAAAATTATGAGCTAGATTATATCCAAATTATATCTTTAAATACAATTTTTTAGTTTTTTCTTTTGATATAGAAATATTATTGAACAAATTAAATTCCCGGAAACAATAAAGCATAATATGCCACACCGTCTCCATCATCACACGTCTTGTTCATTTTCGCTCGTGCTAAACCACGAGGTACGTCTGACTTATATCAAAGGTATTAAGTGTATGTGTAGTTTGGAAGACTGGTTAATTATGATAAAGGATTTAAAATTTTGAGTGGTGGAGCTTAGTGTAGAGAGTTTGATGGTTTGATGAAGACAATGACGACGTAGAGCGTAAGTAAGTAAGGCTATCCATAGTTTGACTACTAAAGTTATATACAGATGATTTTTGTCGGTTCAAGATTTAGTTAGACCAAACAAACTCCGTTTAGTTTTCTCGGATAAGGAAAATGTATATATACACTTACACTGATCAATGTTGGAAAGATAAATTAGCAAAAATTGAGAAACTCAAAAAGGTCAAAGTGGCATGACACTGGTGATAACAGATATAAGTTTAGCAAAGCCCAACGGGCCTAGTTGGACCATGGTTCGATCAAGCTTATTGACTTTATAGTGGGCCTTGAAAGTGAGGTTATTGTATATTTTTCAATAAATCAATGCCGGGAAATTTCGAGGCGTTATTGATTTTGAAAATCCAATCAGTATTTGTAGTAGTCTTACACCATCTCAATCACTTTAGATAATTGAGATCAATGTTGATTATTTAGCTATATTCATTATTTAACACTCCACCAAAAAACGTGTTCTCTTTACTAAATTAAATAAAAAAAAGTCAGATCATCTTTAAAACCATATGCTACTATCTTGATATTTTCTCTTCTTTTTTTTCTTTTTTTGGGTTGTTGTGATCATGATTTATCGAATAAAAACATTACATAAAGCTATATTCTCAAGTAATTTCGTGGGATTGCATGATTTTTTTTCCAATTCTACAAAACCTTTTTTTTTCTTCCAATAAAATTATTAAAATTAGTGGGAAAGAGGAAGAAAAAAGGAAGTATTATTATGATGACTCATAACAGACTCGGCGTTATATAGATAGGGGCAAGATTCAATGAAAGAAAAGGGCAGAATCGTAAATGTCATAACAGACGAGGAGAAAAACGAACCCGAAAGAGAGGGGTAAAATAGTAAAATAAACAAAAAACCGAACCCGAAAAGAACATGAAGCCTTCCTCTTATTAAACCTTCCCACTAAGCTTTTGCAGTTAGGAAAAGCTGGTACAAACCAAAATTAATACTCTTTTTTTTTTTTCTCTCCTTTAATTAATTTTCGCCCAGCAAAAAAAAAAAGAAAAAGAAATCGAAACTTTTCTTGTGTAAATGGAAGGAGAAACTCATCAATCGGAGCCGTTACCTTTACCGTCTGGAGATTCCGACGAAGGAATCAGTGCTGCGATAGAGGCGGAGCTCGCAGAGTTAGCTGCTGGAGATTCAAGCGGCGGTGGTTGCGGCGGTGGGAGAGGGGTTAAGAGTAAAGTGAAAGGACCTTGGTCTACGGAGGAAGACGCTGTGCTCACTAAGCTCGTGAGTAAGTTAGGTGCGAGGAATTGGAGTTTGATCGCTCGTGGTATCCCTGGTCGTTCTGGCAAATCTTGTCGATTGCGTTGGTGTAATCAGCTTGACCCTTCTCTCAAGCGTAAACCTTTCTCTGGTAATTTCTTTTATTAAAAAAAAATAAAAATAAAACTTAAAACCCTCGATTTCGTTACATCTAAAGTCAGATTCTTGCTTTTTGGGTTTTGTTTGATTCTGAGGTTTTTATTTCTCAAAATGTTCGGAGTGATTCCTCGATCTTCGTCCTAATCCTTTGGTTGTTTGTTTTTGTTTGTTTTCGTGTTCAAACGACTTTGAATTGTATGTTGTTGAATTACTGAATCTTCCTAGTTTTGGTAAATTTTTTTGATCTTTAGTGTTAGAAGTTTGTGAAGTGAATGACAACTATGTTTGAAGTATTGACATGATACTGTTGCAGCTATTCAGTGAAAATGTTAGCTTTTATCTAAATTCTTGAAAAGTCTCTTCTTCTGCTCTGTCGATTACATTGGATATAGAGTAAGAGGAGAGAAATTTTGTTTGTAATCACTTGGAAAAAGAGATAATAATACTGAGACTGAGGATTTATATGTTTTATGTCACAGAAGATAGATAGTTTTTATGAACTATTCTTTGAAGTCAGAACCAATTTCATTGTTACATGAAGCATAGCAAAATGAACTTTATTGTTCTTTTACACTTTTGGATTCTTTTGGGTTTGGCTTTTAAGATTGATTCTTTCTTTTTCTTCCTGTTTGTTCTGCTTGTAGATGAGGAAGATCGTATGATAATATCTGCTCACGCGATTCATGGAAACAAATGGGCGGTGATTGCCAAAATGTTATCAGGGAGAACAGATAACGCTATCAAGAACCACTGGAACTCGACCCTTAGACGTAAATATGCTGATTTATGGAATACTGGTAGTCAATGGATACCTAATTCAGTTACCACTGCTCACATCAAGAACGAAAATGTCGAGGAAAAACAACAGTTGCCTCAAGGAGAAATCAATTCGCCACCAAAAAACAATTCTCCACCAAATCCTCCACAAGTGAGTGATGTTATAATGGAAGATGCAGCCAATGAACCTCAAGAACAAGCTCCACCATTAGACAGTAATGTTCCACCAGTAGAGAGTAACGTTCCAGTAGACAGTAACGTGTTTCGCCCAGTGGCTCGTGTTGGTGCGTTCAGTGTCTATAACCCAACTAGCCACAGAAATGGATACAGAGACCACAACATAGTTCCATGCGAGGGACTGTTGATTCAAGCGGCTAAACCCGATTCATTGGCTGGTAAATTTCTACAATCTCTTTACGATGAACCTCATGTCCCTTCGAAATGTGGTCGCGGTTGCTCTACTAATCCAGCTGAAACCAAGTTCTCACGTAACTCGGTGTTGGGACCGGAGTTTGTGGATTATGAAGAGCCTTGTGCAGTTTTCAACCAAGAACTGATATCTATAGCAACTGATTTGAACAACCTTGCGTGGATAAAGAGTGGCCTTGACAATGCCGTTGTCAGAGAAGCAGAACAGAGCTTGAAGATTGATAATTTCAACTATAATGATCCTCGAATCAAGTTTTCTGGAATGATGCCTAGACAAGATTTCTTCTGTGCAAGAAGCTGAACTCAAACGTAGGGCTTGAGAGAATCATCATCACCACCCCCACTTGTTTTTTCCCCCATTTTTTGCGCTTTGACGCATATAGATGATGATGATCTTTATGATGATTCGAGGTTGTCTCTGACATTTTGATTCGGATTCCCGTGAAGAGAGACTTAACATAATATGTAATGATCATTTTAGCCTTTTGATCAGATTCGTATCTCTTATATATAACAATCTTACATCATATGCATTGTTTCTCTCAAATGAGGTACAAAACGACGGAAGAGTAACTTTTTAGTATTCTTTCATCTTTAAATGTCTTAGCGTTAAATCCTGGTTCTTGGTTTAGGAACTTCAAATAGCTCTCTGGTTGAAGTCGGTTTGAAGGTAAAATGTAAGAAGTTGGGCTTTAAGCCCATGAAACCTCATCATGACTTCGGCTCACAGAGGCTTTGGTTTGCGGTTGTTGTTACTCTGTTATTTTCCGACTTGTTTTGGTTACTCTGTTTCTAAAACAGAGCACAAGAAGTGATGATGAGTGACAACAAATGTAGAATTACGTAAAAGAGAGAGAGAAGGAAAAAGGCTTGCTTGCTATTATATTCTTCAGCATGTTATACATTACAAGCACTTTTCTCCATGATATATTTACAAAACCGAAAAAATGAAGATCAATTTACTATAAAAAAAATATCTTGAAACGTCTTCATCTTTTTATCCTTCAAATTCACCAAAATCTTCAATAGATGTGACTTTAGAGGACTTGAGTTTCCACGAAGCTGTACTAACCTTCAATGGAAGCAGCATAGGACTACTATAATCTCCGAAACTAAACTCACTTTCTTCTTCTTCCTTTGTATGCAAGTCACCTGGAGGCAAGAAGAAATCTGAAGACAAACCCTTCACATTAAAGCCAACTTCTTCAATCTCCCAACTCTCTTCCATTGTAGTCTTTGAATGGCTCTCTAAGCTCTCATCGAGCCTCAACAATGAGACACGTGTTTTTCCTCTGTGAGCGATCTGAATACCATCAACGCTCTTATAGTCTTGGATCAATGTCTCAGACGTTGTTTCCCAGAAGACCACATCTTCTTCTTCCGGACCTGTCTTGATCCGTACCAGATAAGTATCCTCTAGCTGGACCAAAAGTCCTGTTCTTTGGCTAAAACATCCCCACACCGTATGCTTCACCGTCTCCATACCGCTCTTGCTTCTAGATTTAAGTCCCGCAGGCTGCGTTTCGAGCTGAAGCACGAAGCATTCTTCGTCGTTAACCGCCTTTTCACCTACGCAAACCGATCCAGCGAACATATTTGCTGTGGTTTTAGGGTCAAGCCCTTGGAGAAACCTTCTGAGAGGTCCAGAAGGTTCATTAGAGGCATGAGAATGTGCGAGCCAAGGGCTTTGTCTCCAAGCCACGTTACCATCACAACCGGCGCTAACTTTACAACCCGAAACCACAAGCTCTAAGCTCCATTGACTCATACCTTTCTTCCATAAAACGAAACCTCCCATCTCCCCTCCTCCATTCCCGTTGTTGTTAACGTTTCTTATTCTCACCATCTTCTTCTTCTTCTTCCCGACTAGGGTTTTCGCTGCACAAAACTCAGTCACTCCCATCTTCACCTTTCCCATCGCGTACATGCTCTCCACCGCGGCCAATGAAATCTCTCCTCCAGCCGCTGCTGTGTATTGCTTTACTATGTACTTCGCCATGGCTGATTCCTATTAATACCAAAAAAACAGAGCAAAAGCAATATCAGAAACTTGTCCCTCAGGTAAATCTATTGATTTTGTTTTTGCCAAAATCATTTAAACGAGTATATTTACTTACAATAGATTGGTTCTTGATGAGTTTTGAGATGGGATGATCAATCTCGTCGTGATCGGAAGAAACAGGGAGAGGGATCGACGGAGCTCCGACGATTCCAAGAAGCATCTGAATCTGAGCATCACGGCCGCCAAAAAGTGTGGCGATGCTACTACTATTATCCGGCGATGACCGGAGCAAACTAGACTTGACGCTGTGCCAAGCGCCACTCTTATTGTTGTCGGAACAGAACAACTCCTCCGGCATCGGAACTTCCAACACCGTCTCTAAACCGTCTTCCCTGTCGAAATTAGGACAAAGAGTCCTCATTTTTTATCACTCTTATAACAAATCTTGAAATAATCAAATCGAAGATGTGATTGCCAGAAAAAAGATATGTATTCTAGACTTTTTTTCTTTCTTTGGTTACAATATTTTGGGGGAGATGAAACGGTTTCAATATATATATTAGTATGAGAGATTTGAATAACATAAGCTCATGGGTTGGTGATTTTATATACTATAATGAAAATAGAGTAAAGAAATAGAGAGAGAAAGAGAGAGTAAACGAGATGACCAACCGACCGAAGCCGATTTGATACTATTTGTGTATTGTCGTGTTCGCACGCTTCATGTCTCCCTTTTGCTCTATTGAATAAATGTATTTTAGTGTAGGAATAATAATGTATAGTTTCCGATAAAATTAAGAGAAATACATGTATCTTTTGTCGTGAATGAAGAAATACATTTGAGCTTTTGTCTTTTCAGCTTGACAATGTATTCTTGAATAAAAAATATACGTTAAAAACTAATATTATTAGGCTTTTAATTGGTAAAAGAGAACTTTGTCCATTGGTGCAGTTGATTTGAATAATGTTTATTAATGTATAGTCGTATTCAATATACGGCGCCGCTCTGAACGCATATTGAAAGGTTAAAAAGTAATTAAGGCCTATAAAAGAAAACAAAGAGAATCAATTGATCATACGGGATTAAATGAATCGACTACAAAGTCTGTTTTGATTCTCTTGATATAGTTTTCATTTTTCTTTCAGAAGGAAAAAAAAAGATATACAAGTTTGTAACAGTGATTTATATATTAAAAATGAATGCTTTTCTTAAGTAGTAGTTTCAATGTGAAAACCCGATATTTTGTCAATTGGTGCAGTTGTAGTAATAATCCACAAAAAGTCAATGTGAAATCTTGTATCCATCTTTGAGTTGCTTTAGCTTAAACCGGCTCATTATATATTTCCTTGGTAAAAGAAAACTACCAAGTAATCCTTACTTTTATTAATCTTTACTTTTTAAAGAAGGTTATAAGATCATGCGTCTCTTTTTTTCCGTTTCATCTTTTGACTTCTAAGTGCAATGTTTATCTCATCCAATGTTGCATTTAGGTTCAATGAATATCGGTATTTCAATTAAATTTTTAAAATAAGGAAGTAAGAAATTTGTTAAAAGTCTTGCTTTAAGTTACCCCTAATGAGATAACAACGATAACGTGATTCGAAGTACCTTATAAACTTGTGCAGATTGTATTCCCTAAGAGATGTGATAATTTTATTGAGTATATATACGTACACGAGGGACGTGACTTCTAAGTCGTCAAAGATAAATATTGATAAGTTTTAGTGTTATTACGTATTTGTAAGAATAACGACGAGAAATGGATAATGAAGAGACGACACTTTGTTTGGGAAATGAATTGTCGGCCGAACGTGGCTGACGCCGTATAATCAGACCGACTACTTAATATATTTCCCTTAAATTTTGATTTGCTTGCCGTTACGGTGACATTGAGAAATCAAATCTTTTTTCTATACATGAATGCATGTGTGTGTCTATTAACTAGTTAGTTGCCTTCATCATGCACCAAGTGAGTTCAATCTAATATATTACGATCTTAACAATATTTGTGATTTCTCCTCAAGAGCAATGTATCACATAATATTATATTCTGCATTATTAATAATTTACATGATTATGATTGTTGAATAAACTCAATCATGACATGCACGCTGTTTGGAATCTTTTTTTTTTCCCGAGATGCAAATTTGTCTGCATAACTCATTTAAGTAGAATAAAAATCAGTTCTTGATACAGTTCTTGATATGATCAGAACAGTTCAAACGAATATGGAAAATCCGAAACCAAATCTAGACCTGATATTATAAAAGATTCTACAGGTAATGTTGTTAAAATAGTTCAATGTCTGAATTAAAACTATATGTGATTGCATTATAATATATGTTTAAATAGTTGTTGTTTTGGAAGACTTTTGGTCAATATGAAAGTGGTATATAAAAAATATCTTGCACACAAATGATAATGAAACAATTTAGAACGACGTCTATATCTTAATTACGACAAACTAGGAAACATAACTAACCACACAATTTCACATATTTGCAAAGCACATACATAAAAAGTTAATTAGCCTTAGCTAAGGAGATCATGATATTAGGTTTTTAGAAAAAAGCAGAGATTGATTTGTAAGTATTAAAACATGAATCATGATCATATTGAACATGTAAAACTCCTGTATAGTCCAGTTATAATTGATTGACTTGGATCGTAACTTCTATAGTTTACTAATTTATACTAGGTTTAAATTCGCAATGCTTGTCTAGACAAAAAAAAAAAAAAAGAATCCAACGATGTTTATACTGAATGACTTTAAAAACAAAATTAGTTAACAATTGTTAACATTCAACAAAGCTTATGATGAGTATTATAGCCACAATTACAAACACTGGTTATCAATAGCTTGGAGCCTTGGAGTATATTCTTATTTCTTGTTTCTCAACCAAACACATTGCAATGATGTGTGTGATTAAACAAATAACCAACAAAGCTTATGAGCATCATAAACAAGAGTAAAAAAGAAAAGTAAAAGTTAGGTATTGTGACAGGAACATATGAAAAATGTATAATACAAAAAAAATGATGTCATAATAAGTCACCTTATATTGTCTCTCCAAACTAAGTTATATTTAATAATAAAAAAGTTATGTTTGATAATAACTAAATTAGATTTGATTTGTCCTTTGACGAGTAAAAATGCTTAGGTCCACAGAACAGGAAAAAAGAAGAAGAAGAAGAAGGAATTCAACTGTCTAATCGTGGGGTTTATATCATTAGAAACGTATGATTACAAAAAAATTCGGTTAAAGATATGTATGATGAAACATGGTCGACAACCAAATTAAAGGTTAGGCTAATACCATGATCGTGAAAGTATATAAAGCAACTGCACAGTTAAAGTTCGAGATCAACGTGAATCACTAGTAAAGTTGAACAGTGAAATTCTGAAGTTGAGATAACTGATTAGAAGAAGAATCAAAAGTTCCGACCATTGTTTCGCTGATTGCGCGGATGGTTTAATGGCGCTGACACAAGCACAGGAACTGACTGTTCCCCAATACAAACATTATCGCCCATAACAAAGTTGCTTTCTTTCGCAACGTGGCTTTTGTCTTTCTCTCACGTGTTTTTGTCCGGCGCCGAATCGGCCCTTCATATATAATACACCTGAAGTATCTCCAATATTGTTGTTTAATTGGCTAAATTTAAAAGAATTACATAAGAAGACAATAACAAATTTTTAATTTTAAGTACTGAAAACTAGATACCTACATCGATGTATATTATCTTAAGCCTCCCAATATGGAGTAGCAAACATCCAACTAAAATTCACATAACACGGACATAAAAAAAAAAAAAAAAAATTAGTAACATTTTCTTTTGCCAATTCTCATCCTTTTGTAGGAATCCAGTTTAGAAAACTAAAATTAAACCGGATCAAATTAGTGCTCGGTTTATCTTGACTATTTTTTCCCAACCCTAGTTATAATGGTATCCATTATCCATATTTTATTTCATAGGTGTGAAGAGTGTTTTAGAGACAATGCTCACACGTAGCTTTTCTAACTTACAAAAGCATAATTAAGAATCAAAAGACAGGACATGATCCACAAGTTTTTCTAAATGCTTGGAAGAAGACCCACCTTTACCTAAGCAAACATTAGCTATTTCTTTCCATTTCAAACACATCTCTCTAATTCCATCTCCTTCCTTTGTCATTACACTTCGTAAAACCTTCTCAATCTCCTTCCTATCCATCTTAGTTCTCTCTAACTCAATTCCGATACGCCATACATCGACGATGTACCTCGCGTTCACAAACTGGTCCGTGAAACACGGTGTACATATCATTGGAACACCTTCACATATGCTCTCTAGTGTCGAGTTCCATCCACAATGCGTCCAAAACGCTCCAACTGCAGAATGCGCCAATACCTCTAGTTGATTCACCCATTTCACAATTTTTCCCTTCTGGCCAATGTTCTCCACAAACCCACTCGGTAATGCCTTCAGCCACTCGGTCCCTCGGATAAATCCAGGTCTAACTACCCACAAGAATGGCTGTTCGCTGTTTCTTAGGCCCCATGCAATTTCGAGAAACTCCTTCTCCTCTATATCTGCAAGGCTTCCAAAACTCACATAGATCACAGACTGTGGCTCTTGCTTATTGAGCCAATTGGTTGTTACATGTTCTTCTATGTTCTTTGTCGTCGGTAGAACATTGTCGCTATGCTTGTGAAACGGTCCAATCGGGAATATGGGAACTTGAGACTTGCTGCTAATATCCGTGAGTGAGAGTCTTTCAAGATCTTCGAATGTGTTCCATATGACTCCTGAAGAAGAATTGGCTCCTTCAATCATGTCGATAGCTACCAGATAGAGTTCCTCCGGCTCATTCGTTTCCATTACCGGAAGATCCTTCACTTTCAAAGGTGGAACCTCTGTCACTAGCTCATCTAATCTAGAAACTAGTAAACAGAGTATTGTGTCACACTTTATCAAAAGTACAAAAATTGTATCGTAAATCTATGCTCCAATAAAATGTTTCCGCATCATCTGTTAAGACTATTTATATATTTATTCGATAATTAAAACGTTGTTAACTTATTGGTTAATAGAATATATAACACGTTCTCATTAAGATATATATGAAGTTTTAATTATTAATCAGTATATAAAACTTAAATGCATATACAAAACTTAAGCTAACATGGGTATGTAACTAAAGAGACCTATCAACTTTATACAGTAGGCAATAGCCACTAGCGAGTTAAACAATATGTTAAAAAATATATATATAACAAAAATATCATTTTGCTTAGGTAAGCAGATATGTTTTTATCTTTAATCTGAACAAGTTGGATTTATTTCTCTTAAAATAAAGGAGTTGACTCAAAAAGAAAATATTTTTTTTCTTATTTTTTTTTACAATAAATAAAGTCGAAATTTGAAAATAAGTTTGTATATGTCTACCTTGAATAGGAAGATAATTCTTATCTCTGAGAAGAGGTAGAGCAGCAAAGGCACAAAACGACGCCAAACCTTGTGTGATCAACACCATCCTACGAACACCTACCTCTTCCGCTGCAACCTCCGTGTTCCTCATCCAAACAGCGTCGGAGACCAAACAACACACTGTCTCTCCTCTGCCTACTTCGGCCGCCAGAGACTGGCGAAACGGCTCCGCGTAAGTTTGTCTTAGCAGACGAATGAAGGCGACGAGGTCCATACTGGAAGCATCTGGTTGAGTCAGAGGGTCCTCTCCTCCTGCGTTGCTGTGAGGGATGGTTCGAAAAGTAAAGAGTGGGTAGTGACAAGGATCGGGAAAGTTGAAGGAAGTGTGGAGGATCGTGACGGAGAAGCCACGATGGTGAAATATCCTGGCGAGTTGGATCATTGGGTTCAAGTGTCCTACAAACGGTAAAGGGAACATTATTATTTTCCTACCTCTTCTCTCTTCCATTTTTTTCTTCGTAACCTTTTCGTTTCTTTTTCTTTTTGGTAATTAGAGATTTTAGGGTTTATTTGATTTGTTGTAGGTGTCTGAGTGGTCGCAACCAGTCAGTCATGAGCATGGTTGTAGTAATGGATTGACGGGATGGGATGACACATTTGATCCACAAATTATATTCAAAGTTAAATAAAAGTAAAATGAAATAAATGTTATTTGTGTCTCTTATTAGATTCATACATATATTATCATAGTATATTATCAACCTTTAGTTATTGGATCCTTCGATCTATTGGTGGTTGTTAATACAAGTTGCTTATTGTAAAGAGATATAAAAATATTAATAAAAAGTAATATGAGTTGCTTAAATAAATAAAAGTTATATTCAAAATTGTCTAAACAAAAAATTTAAGAAACTTTTGAAAAAATTATGGAAATGCTTCCCTTTATTTATAATTGATTATATACAAAATGTTTTTTTTTTTGCGAATTAAAATATATACAACTGAAGGGATTAATATAAATTTGAACATACAACCAACATAGTATCTAAAAAAACGTAGAACCTCCATATGTTTGAAAGAGGATTGCTCCTACGTGTCTACGTTGCAAAAGCGTAAGAACTAAAAAGACAGAACATGACTTACAAGTTTGTCTAAATTCTTAGAAGAAGACCCATCTTTATCTAAGCAAACACGAGCTCTCTCTTTCAACTTCAAACACATCTCTCTAATTCTATCTCCTTCCTCTACCAACACACTACTAACTACCACCTTCTCGACCTCCCTCATATTGATTTTACTTCTCTCTAACTCAATTCCGATACGCCATACATCAATGATGTACCTGGCGTTCACACGTTGGTCCGTGAAACACGGTGTACATATCATTGGCACACCCTCACATATGCTCTCTAGCGTCGAGTTCCATCCACAATGCGTCCAAAATGCTCCAACTGCAGAATGCGCCAATACCTCTAGTTGATTCACCCATTTCACAAATTTTCCCTTCTGGCCAATGTTTTCGACAAACCCACTAGGCAATGCCTCAAGCCACTCAGCCCCTCGGACTAACCCGGGCCTAACCACCCACAAAAAAGGTCGTTCACTGTTTCTTAGACCCCAAGCAATCTCGAGAAATTCCTTCTCCTCTATATCTGCAAGGCTCCCAAAACTCACATAGACCACAGACTGCGGGTCTTGCTTGTCGAGCCAATCAGTTATTACATGGTCTTCTGTGTTTTTTGTTGTCAGTTGAAGATTGTAGCTATGTTTGTGAAACGGTCCAATCGGGAATATGGGAACATGAAACTTGCTGCTAAAATCCATGAGTGAGAGTCTTTCAAGATCTTCGAATGTGTTCCATATGACTCCTAAAGAAGACTCGGCTCCTTTCACCATATCTTTAACTATCCGGTATAGTTCCTCCGGCTCATTCGTTTCCATTACCGGAAGATCCTTCACTTTCAAAGGTGAAAGCTCTGTCACTGGCTCATCTAATCTAGAATCTGTCAAACAAAAATATGTGAAAACAAACGTATTATTTAATAAGTGCTACTATATGTCAATCTAAAATTATATCTATAATTTAACACACACACATGTAGTAACGAAAAAACATACTCCATTACTTTGTATGTTTCTGTAACAATAAAGTAATAAGTGTAATGTCATTTTTTATTTGGAATATGGCATTATTCTTCTATAGGAACTAGGAAGCGTGTCACACCATCATTGGATTTATTTCTGTTAATTAATATAAAGGAGTTGACCGCGAAATAGAAGTTGAAATTAAAAGATAAGTTTGTAAATCTACCTTGAATCGGGATGTAACCCTTATCTCTGAGGAGTGGATAAGCAGCAAAAGCACAAAACGACGCGGCACCACTTGTGATCAGCACCAATCTACGGACTCCAACCTCTTCCGCTGCAACCTCCGTGCCCCTCGCCCAAAGAGCGTCGGAGACCAAACAGCACACCGCCTCTCCTCCACCTACTTCAGCCGCCAGAGACTGACGAAACGTCTCCGCGTAAGTTTGTCTCAGCAGACGTATAAAGACGACAAGATCCATACTGGAAGCCTCTGGCTGAGTCAGAGGGTCTTCTCCACCTTCGTTGTTGTGAGGAACTGTTCGAAAAGTGAAGAGTGGGTGGTGAGAAGGATCGGGATAGTTAAATGAGGTGTGGAGGATCGTGACGGAGAAGCCACGGTGGTGAAATATTCTGGCGAGTTGGATCATTGGGTTCAAGTGTCCCGGAAACGGTAACGGGTACATGATTACTTTCCTCCTTTTACTTGCTTCCATTTTTCTTCTTCTTTGTTTTTGTTATTTTGGTTCGTTAAAGTATTTTGATTTGTTGTATGTTATTGTAGGTGTTTTAAACTCCCGATAATGCAATCGCCGCCTTGTAGTATGACCAATGACCATAGTTGTAATGGATTGACTGATTACGCATATCTTTGACTCATTGATTGGCCTGGATGTTGACCCATTTAGAGTTCAGATACGTACAGCTGTTATAATTGTAAAAATCTACATTAACCAAATTTGGATTAAATTATTTTAACAGTAAAATAACACATGAACTTTCATATAAAACCCAAACAACCAATATTATTATATGAAGAAACAAAACATCCAAAAGGTTTGAAGAGGACTTAGAATACATTGCCCATTTGTAGTTTTTTCTAACTTGCATGCAAAAGCTTAAGAATCAAAAGATAGGACATGACTCACAAGTTTGTCTAGATACTTGGAAGAAGACCCATCTCTGCTTAAGCAAACATTAGCTCTCCCTTTCAACGTCAAACACCTTTCTCTCAATCCATCTTCCTTCTCCATCATTACACTTGTTACTACCTTCTCAATCTCCTTCCTTTCAATCTTACTTCTCTCTAACAACATCCCGACTCGCCATACATCAGCGATGTACCTCCCGTTCAAATGCTGATCCGCGAAACACGGCGTACATATCATCGGAACACCTTCACATATGCTCTCTAGTGTTGAGTTCCATCCACAGTGCGTCCAAAACGCTCCAACAGCAGGATGCGCCAATACCTCTAGTTGATTCACCCATTTCACAATTTTTCCCTTATGACCAATATTTTCCACAAACCCACTAGGCAATGACTCAAGCCACTCGGCGCCTTGGACCATCCCTGGCCTAACCACCCACAAAAATGGCCGTTCGCTATTTTTAAGACCCAAAGCAATCTCGAGAAACTCCTTCTCTTCTATAGCTGCAATGCTTCCAAAACTCACATAGACCACAGACTGCGGATCTTGCTTGTCTAGCCACTCTGTTATTTTATCGTCGTCCTTGTTCCTTGATTTTGGTGGAAGATAGTAGCTATGTTTGTGAAACGGTCCAATCGGGAACAAGGGAACCTGTAAATTGTTGTTACAATCCATGAGTGAGAGTCTTTCAAGATCTTCAAATGTGTTCCATATGACTCCTGAAGATAACTTGGCTCCGTCCAGCATGTCGTTAAGTATTTGGTATAGTTTCTCCAGTTCTTTCGTTTCTATCATCGGAATATCCTTCACTTTCAAAGGTGGAAGCTCTGTCACTAGCTCATCTAATCTAGTCTCTGGAGAAAAAAATAGTGTGTGATAAAATCTTTAATATTGCTAAAAGAGGAAAGAAAAGAAAGAAAAGGTAATTGTAGTATTAAACCTTGTATAGGGAGATAACCCTTATCTTTTAGGACAGGGAAAGCTTCATAAACACACATCGATGTTGCACTACCTGTCCTCAGCACCATTCCACGAACTCCTATCTCTTCCGCTACAACCGCCGTGTTCCTCCCCCATAGAGCGTCGGAGACCAAACAACACACCTTCCCTCCTCCGCCTACTTCCGCTGCTAGTGACTGGCGAAACGGCTCGGCGTAGCATTGTTTAAGAAGACTAATGAGGACGACGATGTCCGTACCTGAAGACGTCTTTGATTGAAGCAGAGGGTCTTCTTCTTCACCTTCGTTTCTGTGAGTGATGGTTCGGAAAGTGAAGTGTGGGTATCGAGAAGGATCGGGGAAGTTGAAAGAAGTGTGGATGATTGTGAAGGAGAAACCACGGTGGTGGAATATTGCAGCAAGCTCGATCATCGGGGTAAAGTGTCCCGTGAATGGTAGAGGAAACATGATTATTCTCCTCCCTTTTCCCTCTTCCATTTTTTCTTCTCTTTTCTTTAAGAAAACAAAATGTAGAAGGTTTGGAAGATTTCAAGGATATATATTGGATTTTTTTGTTGATCACTTATGGCCAAATTACAAAGACTCTCAAGTAGTCTATGAACGAGCGTCGTCTTAAAATCTCATATTTTTCTTCTCACATGCAGCTAGGACAGTTGTTAAACTTTTGTGTGTTTTTTTGTTGTTTACATCAACGGCTGATTTGTCATATGACACATTGAGAGCATGCCATGAGTGGTTTCTCACATGAATTCTCACCAATTTGTTTTTACTTTCAACGGCTTCATGAAACGGTCGTTGACATATTGATAGTATGAGCATGGGTGTAACAGATATGACGCATTACATGTTTGATACATCCCTTTATTTTGTTTAAATAATCATTAACCAAAAAAATGTTATTTAGTATTTTAAATTCATATGGTGACCTATATTATTCTCAAAATGAGTCAAAATATTCAAACCAACATAACATAGTCCATTGATCGAGTTGGATATTGCCCTATTTATACAGCTACAAACTGTTACCTGTAATAACAAAATTGACTAACTTTATCATTATCACTCACCAACATTATAGTTTGAAGAAATAAAATATCCAAAGGTTTTGAAGAGTGCTTAGAATACATTACTCCGTCGTAATTTTTCTAACTTGCAAAAGCATAGGAATCAAAAGACAAGACATGACTCACAAGTTTATCTAGATGCTTGGAAGAAGAACCCTCTTTACTTAAGCAAATATTAGCTCTCTCTTTCAACTCCAAACACCTCTCTTTCAACCCATCTCCATTCTCCATTATTACACTTCTTATCACCTTCTCAATCTCCTTCCTTTCCATCTTACTTCTCTCTAACACCATCCCGACTCGCCATACATCAACGATGTACCTCGCGTTCACATGCTGGTCTGAGAAACACGGCGTACATATCATTGGAACACCTTCAGATATACTCTCTAGTGTCGAGTTCCATCCACAGTGCGTCCAAAACGCTCCAATCGCAGGATGCGCCAATACTTCTAGCTGATTCGCCCATTTCACTATTTTTCCCTTATCTCCAAAGTTTTCGATAAACCCAAACGGTAACGATTCGAGCCACTCGCTCCCTCGGACAGACCCCGGCCTAACCACCCACAAAAACGGTTGTTCGCTGTTTCTTAGACCCCAAGCAATCCCGAGAAACTCCTTCTCTTCTATAGCTGCAAGGCTTCCAAAACTCGCATATATCACAGACTGTGGGTCTCTCTTGTTGAGCCACTCGGTTGTTTCACTGTCTTCCTTGTTCTTTGTCTTCGGTGGAAGATCGTTGCTATGTTTGTGAAACGGTCCGATCGGGAAACACGGAACTTGTAACTTGCTGCTAATATCCATGAGTGAGAATGTTTCAAGATCTTCAAATGTGTTCCATATGACTCCTGAAGATAACTTGGCTCCTTCCACCATGTCGTTAACTACCCTGTAAAGCTCCTCCGGCTCTTTCAGTTTTATTACCGGAAGATCCTTCACTTTCAACGGTGGAAGCTCTGTCACTGGCTCCTCTAATCTAGAATCTGTGAAAATTAATGTTTAGTACGTAAATATTTAGTTTTCTCTAACAAACTTAAGATATATGATATATAATCCAATAATATATATGTTTTACGAATATACTTAACTATTTTATAAATAAGTGACAAATGGTGTAATAAAAAACAAATACCAGCTTAAATTCACCTCAATTTGGATAGCTTAATAGGTAAATATCAACAGCTACGTACTTTTCGTCTGTTTTTTCTTTAATCAAAATATTCCCCAAATTAAACAGTATTGCTAGGAAATATCGTATTTTCCAATCATTAAATGAAATATCGTATTTTCCAATCATTAAATCAAGACCGAAAAAGGAAAAAAAAAGGATAGGTGTACGGTTAACCTTGTATAGGGAAGTAGCCCTTATCTCTTAGGAGAGGGAAAGCGGCAAAAGCACAAAACGACGACGCACCACCAGTTCTCAACACCATTCTACGAACTCCTATCTCTTCCGCTACGAGCGCCGTGTTCCTCCCCCATATAGCGTCGGAGACCAAACAACACACCGTCTCTCCTCCTCTTACTTCCGCCGCCAGAGACTGACGAAACGGCTCCGCGTAACTTTGCTTCAGCTGGCGAATGAGAGCGATGAGGTCCATACTCGAAGCTTCTGACTGAGAGAGAGGGTCTTCTTCTTCACCTTCTTTGTTGTGAGTAATAGCTCGTAAAGTGAAGTGTGCGTGGCGAGAAGGATCGGGGAAGTTGTAAGAAGTGTGAAGGATGGTTACGGAGAAGCCACGGTGGTGGAATATTCCAGCGAGCTCTATCATCGGGTTGAAATGTCCCGGAAACGGTAGAGGGAACATGATTATTCTCCTCCCTTTTCGTTCTTCCATTAACTGTCTTTGTGGTTCTTTCAAAGTTGCTGAGAAGCAAAGAGCGAGGAGAAGAGTACTAGTTTTGGAAAAAGATAAATTAATCTGTCATTAAGGGTTTATTACGGTTACATAGAAGCACATCTTATATTATGTATCTATGAAACTCTTGATCCTATTACAAATCCACAGCTGTCATAGCTGCATGTCATAGGAGAATTAGCAAGACTACTTACTGCCTGCACCAAATTTTTCTGTTTCTTTGGCCTTGTCTTACTCACAGTAAGAGAGTAACGTACCAAAAACAATGTTAAATAAAGTTTCCTAACGCTCATTTCTGATTAGATTAATGCAATTGACATTGAACTTTCCCTTCCATTCTAATTAGATTAATGCTAGTGAGTAGTACTGACTGTTCCTTTTTTTTATAATAAGAATCACATTTCACCAGTAGTTATAGGCACAAACTCTAAATGTCATGTTTCTCTAAACAACATCACATGGCGGTATACATATATCTATATACTAAGAGATGTAACTATCTCAAAAACGGAATGAAATTAAAACAGTGTGAGCCAAAGCCTTGTTTAGCAAAAAAAAAAAAACAGTGTAAGCCAAGAGTATGGTAGCGGAGTCACTGTCATGATAGATAAATTAAGAACAAAATTTGTAACTCCAACTAATCCAACATGTCATCTATAGCATAATAATAAATGTGTGGTGTATTTTTTTGCTTCTCTTCCTTAAAGTTTACCCTAAAGCGTAAGAATAGTTTCGCATAAGCTTCGGACGCGTTTTAACCAATATCATCGAAGACAAGTCTCTTGGACAGTTGGACTTTGTTAACCAAAATCTTTACGTGGCTGGATTGGGTCTGTGTATTATATTATTATACTCCAATTCAAACATGGAACCAAGTGGTCCTCTAGATTCCTTTAGCCAAAAACTAGCCTCGTTGGACCCGTTAGACAGAGAAATTTGATATACTGGTCGGCCCACGTTGCTGGGCCAAGATCAGTTTCCACATTTCCAACTTGTACATAGCTATAAGATCTTTTGCCGACAAAAAAAAAAAGAAAAAAAAAATAACATAGCTATAAGATCGAGTTCACATAATTGATTAGGATATATGATCCCATATCAATAATGTTGAGAAATAAGACTTGAAGTCTCTATAACATCTAAAACAAATTATATGGAAATTTCAGATACGTTTGAAGTCTGACTAACTACTAATTTTTCTTTCTTTTTTTTTCTTTTTTTGCTAGTAAAATCCTTGCAAACAAAAATTGGATAGTATTTTACCAAAAAAAAAATAGTACTGGTATTGGAATTGGATACATTATCATCTCTTTCATGACTTTTACTACATGTATGTGGGTCACTTTTTTCATTAGTGTGTTGTTTCGTTTGTTACGCATCTCTTCAACCAAATATGTTGTTGATGCTTTAGTAGCAGTTGATATATAAATTACATTCCTTCACAATAGTAAGATATTTTTAAAAATGCCATATTCAATGTTCATGATATATGCCTATATGGAATCGACCCAAGTGATATATGTATGTATTATTTCCTTTATGTTGCTAGGAATTTATATATGATTTAAAAAAAAAAAAACAGTAATCATCAAATAGCGAAAATTGATTGAGGCTTTTGCTTTAGGCACACCGTCATCGTCTCATCGTCTTAGATACGTTTATGGTATTTTTTTTTTTTAAAGTATTGTGGGCGAGAACCTTGATTGCAACTATAACCTTGAGAAAGAAGAAGCTCCCAAGTCCCAACTATAGTATTATTATATCCTCAACCATAGGTCCATCCATATACATGCTTCGTATAATCATGAATACTTGGAATCATTATTTGCATTTACTCCGATGCCGATGGAAAAACTGACGTTAAACAGGAATGTATGGAAACAAACCTTACTTCAAACAAAATTTCCTAAGAACATCAAATGTTGTAACTTGTAAGAGTATTATTAGGGATTCTTAACATTCACATCTCTCAATCCAAACATCTTACTCTTTTGTCTTTCGTATTTGTGGCTTACGTTACCTTCTTCTCTCACTTATTTTGTTACTCTTTTGTCTTTCATGTTTGTGGCTTACCTTTTCCTTCTTCTCTCAATTGTTTTCTTTTGTTTTTTCCTGTCTGTCTTATAGACTTCTTCTCTTTTTTTTTTTCTTTTTTTTTTTTTGTCATCAGTAGACTTCTTCTCTTTTTGCGGAGAAAATCCAAAAAAGAGCAAGCAAGAAAACCAAAAAGTTCAATAACCAACAACGGAACCTACCTACAAACTTAGGTAACATTCTTAAATCATATCAATTTTTTTTTTTTCTTTAGACTTATGGTTTGTGCTTGTCTTCAAGGTTAGTAGACTAGGAGTGTAGACCATTTTAGGCTCAAGATCTTAACTTCCTTCACAAATATCTTCATCTTGTGTTCTTAATCACAAATCTTATATTATAGTAAGCCAAGGCGATTAAGACGTAAAAGATCTGTTTCACCCCTAAGCCTTTGTCTACTGCTTCACGCCTAAGCATAACCTTCTTTTCCTTTTCCACCTTCTAATACCAATTTTTTTTTGGAGATAAAATTCTTTTTCATCATCGCATTTCGCAAAACAAACCCGTCTTCGAACTCTTCATTTAAACACTGAATCATCTTTTATTCTATCAGATTTTTAGATGTAAAAGAGAAAACACAAATGCAACAAACATTAAATTATATTGATAGGGAAAATATAGGGAACTACTTCAGGATACAATCTTCTCTATTACTAGTATGATTCACTATAACTTTCTTTTGCTTCTTTTAATAAAAAAAACAAACAAATTACAGATACTCTTTATTGCAACCCCATAGATTCCAAAACTGAAGAAAATACCCTTAAACTTAAAGTACTCTCAAACACATCCTCTATGTTGTTGCACTAAACCTTATTCCAACCTCCCAAGGCCAAAAAAATGTATTCATTAACTCCTACTTAAACATAAATTAAGCAAATAACTAAATAATCAATCCCAATCCAATTTAACCCCAACATAATTATTTTTTACTACTATAACCAGTAACCATCACAATCCCAACTTATATATCCAACCCACTAACTACGACCATTTCTTTTCATCTCCAAAGTCCCTGAATCCACACAGAACCTTAAAATTCAAACTTAGTACGTCCATTCTTTTGGAAGAGGTCTTTCTTGCTTCTGACATCCACCACCAGCTACTGCAAACAAACGAACAGATTCGATCACAATGTCCTTATTATATTTTTTTTCTTCTATAATTGTAAAATTAAGAACTGGGGATGTTTGAATTAGTACCTTGATCGATTTTGCCGCGTCCAGTAGAGACACGAGCTTTCGAATTTGGTTTGCTCCGACCAGAGACTTCTTCAATTTTAGGTTTTTTTTGGTTAACAACCTTTGTCGGAACCTTAACACATCCACCTCCTAATAATCAATATTGTTTTTTTTTTTCTATTTAGCTTCTAGAGTATCAAAATTGAACGAAAGTTTTTAAATTTCAGACTCCCAAGATATAAAATTGAGTAATTAATTACCTGATTTCTTCTGGGAATCGGAAGGGTTTGAGTATCTCCGGGGAAGGAAAACGCCGGTACCAGTAGAAGGCGGCTTAACGGTGGTTGGAGCGGTGAAGACGCTTCTAACGGGAGCAGCAGGAGACACAAGCCAAGCATTTGGGACTCGAGACTGATAGTAATGTGGCTGCCACAGCCAGTAGTAGTTTGAAAACGCCGCGTTTTGAGGAAATGGGATTAGGGAATTAGGTTTAGGGTTTGGGCGGCTTGAGGGTTTAGCATCAAAATTAGCCTTTTGAATCTTGGCGACTTCTCCAGCTGCAGCAGACAACACTTTCAGCGAGTCTTCTTCACGAAACGGAGATGTCGGCGGTGAAGGGACTTGGGAAAACGGACCATTAGGACTTCCGAGTCCACTCTGTGCTGACTCAGTGACTTGGGGTTTCAACTGCAGAAACAGAGCAAAATTTATAAAACAAACTGAGTGAAGAAACTGTGAGTGTTTAGTTTACATTTACATTGGGAGATAATGTTTGGGGAGAAACAAAAAGAGTGAAGCTTTCAATAAACCTGAGCCATGTCGGTGATGAATGAGGGAGAAGAGAGGCGCTGAGTCGAGAGAGCGAGTCTGCGGGTTAAACCGGCTAAGAAGTCATCTTCGTCGTCGGTTGTTTCATCTTCCGTCTCCGTTGTGTCCTCTGGAGAAGTGGAAAAGGTTGAGAAGTCGCCGAACTCGTAAGGGAACTCGTTCGGGAAGCTGAGTTGTTGACTCGGGGTTGTTAGGGGTTTCTCCATTGGTTGTTCGACGACGGCGGGGAGCGGAGGAGAGAGCTCTAAGGACGCGGCGGCTACGGGCGGCGCGACCATAGCGACAGTGGGTATAAAACAGAGAGAGAGAGAGAGAGAGAGAGATAGGTTTGTGCCTATTAAATGTTGCAGAGAGGGTTCTCTTTATTAAGGTTACAAATGAGGACAGCTCAAAAGACAGACATTGTATACATTTATTTTATAAAATCCGTAATTCCTGCCAGATAATTAAAAATTTCAATGGTTGACCAGACAAACAAAAAAAAGGCAAATGCGAACACGGGAAAAATGTTAGTAGTGCTCACACTATGTGGTGGACTACCCCCCACTAGATCACTGGTTTTAAACTTTTTAATCCTTGAAAAGCCTTTTAACTTTGTTGGCTTCCTAATTGATTTGGGCTTACAGATCCAGAGAAAAGCCTTTTTATGCTAAAGATATATGATGATGAAACAGAGTTGAAGAATTCAAATATTATTACAGGATGTGTCTTTGTGATTCTCTATATACAAAACACACGTACAGAGAGATTTATTAATCGTCATCAGTTAAGTGCAACTTTATCGAACGGTGACATATTCTCACTAGTCACTAGGTTGCTGCCTTCTTGGCCAAGTCTTTTTGTGAAGTTTTAATACCTTCTTTAAGTTGCGGTTGTCCCTTATTCCAAACATTTACTGTCATTAAGATTTTCACTGTTATTAATTTAATGTTCTTCCATTATCCTTAACCGAAAGAAGAAAAAAAAACTCCACTCAAAGCCCATAAATTTCCGTAATTTATTAAGCACCGTTTTTAAGACTTTCAATATTATAAATAAAAATGTTCGAAACATACAAAAGAGAAAATACTAAACACATTTGTATAGTCTAAAACTTTCAACATGGCCACAATGCTCAGGATACACATGACTTTTCCTTTGTCGTCGTTGTTAGTATTCGTGTTCTTTGCGTTTACAGCCGCAAACGCGATGCTCATCAAAGACATGTACGCATTTTGCAAAGAGACAGATGACGTCAACTTCTGCTTGAAGTACATTGGAACGGACGTACGTATACTAGCCGCACGCGACTTACGTGACGTTCTTGTGATTGCGGTAACGTTATATATCTAGTTTCTAATTCCTTTAAATTATTATTATGTAGAGATTATATAAAGTGTGTATTACATTATAATGACCAGTTATATATGAAGGGAACAAGTCGTCATAAACATAAAAATTGAGAGATGAGAGAATATGCTTTATTCCTTTGCTAAAAATAAAACAATGTCTTTGATTCTTTACTGAATCAGATTTCTAAATGCAAAATCCAAGTGAGCAACGCAGCCAGACATATCAACAAAGTCAGTTACAAGTATAGTAGTCAGCTTGGAACTCAACGAGTGTATTTTTGCCGCAAGTATTACAAGTTAGCGTCTGATTCGTTCCAAAAAGCTTATGAAGAAGCCCAGGAAAAAGCATACGCAAATTCGCCTGAGGTATCTGCAAGAGAAGGCTCAATGTATGTGTGCATGTGCGAAAACGAATGGAAAAAGGATGGACCCGACCAAAAGTCTCCCGTCACTTTCTATAACACAAATGTTGTCAAACTGATATCTATTATTGATCTTATCATCGGAAAGCTTTATGGTTAGCTGTACTGGAATGCGATTTACTAATTTAATTCCTCTGCTTCTAATGATAGAGTCTACTTAAAAAACTTTCTTGATGTTTTTCATTATTTAGGATCGTAAGTGTGTGAAACGTGATGTTTAAAGTTTTTATAGCAACATTAAGGGTACAACAATTCATTTAGATACCTAAAGTTAAGAAATAGCATGTGCTAAGGTTGGATGTTTATGACGATTTATATGATTTTAAATATTTCAATTTTCATATAGTTTAAATAACAAGAAGATAAATAAAATTTCGCCATTCTGCAGCTCGATCGACAATTAAATGATTCTTTATCTATTTTATTACAAAATTATAGTTTCTTTAGTGACAAGCTTTCAATCATCGTGTAGAGTTTTTTTCCACGCAGTTTTATGCGGTTATGTGAAATTTAGATGAGGAAAATGACGGATGAGTGGACAGAGCCACCAGACGACAGACACTAGTCAAGTATTTAAACTATGGTTTGCTAAAAGGAGTCTTAAAATCCGAATTCACGAAGGAGACAGTGACATGCGTTGGTGAAAGATCTAACCAGGTTAGCTGGGAGCCTGAGACCAATTAGAAGCTTAGAGTGTATATTTAGGAATGTTGGTTTGATCTCTTTAATTGTGAGTTTGATTTTTTTTTTTTTAATCTTCATTTAAAGCTTTAGAGTACGGTAGTCTTGGAGTCTTGAACAAATAGAGTTGTACTGTCACTGTATAAGATTCAAATGGGGCTGTTGTGTGTCATTTTTTTTGTGGGAGATTAGATGATACGTTGGCTCGTCGTGTTTCTTAGACTGAGTCTCCTAATAGATTTTGTGATATGGGGGCTCTGAATCATTTCCATAAAAATTTGAGCAACAATCAGAAACAATTGTAGAGTTAGAAACCTTAATTGCTCATGTGTTGTTTCTTTAAACTATAGTTTATTTGTGTATTATAGACTTTGGATGTGGTTGTTTCTACTTAGATAGGGTGCTTCTCATATGGTAGATGTAAATAAGCTCCAAGAAATTGGAACAACAGTATAAAAAATTGGTAGATAGAGTTAGAAACTTCTAATTTTCAAAAGAGGTATATGTTAGAGAAAATAAAAGAGAAGAATAATAAACACGAAATTAATTTGTTGTTGTGAATACATAAATATTTCAAATAGAGAAAGAGCAAATAGCATAAACAATATTTTTTTTTTCAACCCATTTAGTGACATTTATTAGATAAAATTTATGTAATAATAATTTTCTTTTTTTAAGGATGAGTATCGAATGTATAACAGTCAGGATATGATCCATCGCGATTTATACGACAAATACCGTTTCTATTGAATTTTCCTACTTCCCAAATACATTCTTTGCAAACTCCAGCAGATGGAGTATCGTCTCTAGAAACTTTAAATATATCAAAATAGTAATTTGAGTGATACCAGAAAAAATGACAACGAAATTTTGTAGTTTTCCACATGTTAACATGAAATTTAAAACCCCAAGAATGCCCAAATGGAATTTGGATTAGCCCCAAATCATCTTCACTGGATTTACAATGTACATTCATCGTATCAGTGCTTAATATAGTGTTGCGGATTACAACATGCTTTTTGGCTAGAGGTAACCAGCCATCATCCCCCGGTGCTTCTACTGTAGCATTTGATAAAGGTAATACCGAAGTAGAAGCAAAAAGAAGAGAAGAGATTGTAAACAAAAATATAAGATGATGATTATTAATGGAAGCCATGGTTATGTAAATTAGGCTGAAATAGCTAGATAAAACTTATGATCTCACTATTTATTACCAGAAAGGGAGAGTGACTAATTTGGATAATGTTGACCAAAATATTTTAGATTTTGAATTATGTATATTTTGGAAAACTTATAAATTGGAGTATATCTTATATATATAATGTTGACCAATATGTATTTAGATTTTTTGAATTATGTATATTTTGGAAAACTTATAAATTGGAGTGTATATATTTATATATATATATTAATATATGTCATAATTTACACTTTGGAAATAAACTAATTTCTTATATCTTGATTTTTGACTTTGTAAGGATATGATAATATCCCAAAGTCTTATTATGAAGGTTTAACCTATTCTTTTACGACCAATAATTTTTTTTAGTATTTATAAATATATGATATATGAATGAGTACATGTAAACAAAGGAAGCTTGAACAAACATTTTTTTTTTTGTTAAAGAAGTTTGACTAAAAATACATAAGTTTCATAGTTATATATCATGCGATCGATAATACAGCGACATATAAAGTTATAAGAGTATTCTAAGCCATGAAATAATTTTATGTGACTTTTTATATACTGTCTATAGAGTATGTTCATACATTTAACTTGTTTGGGTGAAAACAATAAATTTCGCATGAGGTTTAAGAAAATAACAATACTGTATGTCTGTATTAGTGTAAAATTTTACTATTTTAATTAAATGTACAGTATTAGAGAAAATAGCATGCAAGTTATTAGATATCATTTATCCCGACAACGTGCAAATTAATAATGTATCAAGATTATCAAAAATTCAAAAGAACTATTTCAGTTAAACTGTGAAAACAAATGAATTTATCCTCAATCACAATATTTCCTATTATTTAGCTACATAATTTCAAATCAGATATATCTACCCTAAACTTTAAATGCCTATAGCGAGTCAAAATGTAAATATATTTAGCATACTCGTCGTCGTCGTTGTTATTTGAGAACCAGAAGCTACGTGGACTTAATGCAACAGTGGTTCATGACAAGAGGACATCACACTAAATGTTTTAATCACATGTGCTCAGTGACTCTGTCTTTGATTTATTTTGCTCTGTCTTATTTCATTTGTCCTGTCTTCTGTTCGAATCCACACTTTGGAAATAATCCCCTTTGTTGATTAATTAATTTTATACTTCAACAATTAATTTAATTTCTCTTCGTAGTTAAGTTCTTTAGAGCATCCACAATGGTTGGATTCTAAAAATGAGTATCCATACAAAAATATATTACATTTTAATATATATATATATATATATATATATTATATTTAAATTAAAGTTAAAAACATAAAATGAACCACTTAATAAATGCCATGTGTACTGAAGAACGTTTTACAGGTTCTATAAGTTCCATTTTTAGAACCTCAATTCCTTTTCTTTCATACATTTTTATTTTTATTCATATAATTTGGTTTTGATACATAGTTAGAACTAGGCAAGTCAATTAGGGCCAAAGCCCGCGGGCTAGCCCAGCCCGGCCCTTAAAAATATCGGGCTCGGGCTTTAATATAAATGTCCAAAAAATATCGGGCCTTTCGGGCTAAGCCCGTTTGGACAAAGGGTTTTTTTGGGCTTACCCCGATCGGGCTCGGGCCGGCCCGAAGAACCCTAAAAATATAATTTTTAATCAATATTTAATTTAACTTTTTCAAAAAAAAATTAAACATATGATGATCCAGGTAATAAATGTTATTTGTAATTATTTATTTATTTTTATTTTAAAAAACTATATATGATATTTTATTGATTTATACATGTCAAAATTCATTATAAACATAAGTTAAATGTTTGTATATAGCTCTTAATGATGAGAAAGATTTAGAAGACACGGAAGGGGAGGAGAATTCTGAAGGCATTGAAGGAGAGCCAAATCTTGACTCTAATACCTAATTTGAAGTCTTTTTGATTTGTGTTTTATACTGTATGAGTTTAAACTCTTTTGTTTGGATTTGTTTACTTTTGAAACATTTTTTTTAATTTCACGAATAAAAAAACTTTATTATTTTAAAATAAAGTGAGTTTAAATAAATATTAGTGGTTACTTATATTTAAATTGAATTGTTTCAATCATTTTCAATAAGAATTGAAGTCAGTTTTATTTTCAAGAAAAACCCGAAAAAGTGTTTTTTTATTTATTAAAAATGATCGCCCATTTTAAAACAGAAAGGCAATGATCCATCACTATTGATACGACAAATAGTGTCGTTATGATACTTACCCACCTCCCAAATACATTCTTGACAAACGGGATATCCAATTATACTATCATCTCTTGATACTTTAAATATTGAAAAGAAATGAGTTCCGCCTCCGAGCCATGAAAATTGACAAACAAATTTTGTCCTTTTCCAAATGTTAACATGAAATCTAAAATCCCAACTTTGATTCCAAGGGATATGGATCAATCCCAAATCATCATCACGAGAATGACAATGTACATCCAAAGTTTCTCTGTTTCTAACTTTATTGCGGATTACAACATGTTTCTTGGCTAGAGGTAAGAAGCCGTCTTCACCCGAACTTGGTGCTTCTGCTGGAACATTTGAAAAATCTAAAGCTGACACAAAAAGAACAAGAATAGAAGAAATAACAAACAACAATGTAACAACATGAGACTTATTAGTGAAAGACATGGTTATGGGACTGGTTAAGTACAACTACAATAAGTTCCCTATTTATAGTTGTAAACAAAATGTAAGTAAAATATGCTTGAAAGGGAGGTAACTACAGATTCATGTAATGGCCGACAAAAAAAAAAGAAAAAAAAGATTCATGTAACGTTGACTGAATGGATTTAGTAAGAAATATAATTTGGAGTACATTTTCGATATTAAGTTTTGGAAGTAAATTAATCTTTGACCAAAAAAAAGGAAGTAAATTAATCTTTTTAGCGGTAACTTTGACTTGGTAAAATTATTAAAAATATTTTCAAAGCCTTATTTTGTAGGTTTGAATAATATGTTTGCCAACCAATCATCCACTTTTCGTGTACAGTAAAACCTCTATAAATTAATAATGTTGGGACCATGAAAATCTGTTAATTTATAGAGGTTTTAATTTATCAATAAATTAATAATTATTAATTTATAGAGATATTTTACTAATTTGGAAAGTTTTTTCAAAAAATATTTAAAAATAAGATTAAATCATGATAATTAGTATTTTATATAATCATTTACAAAGAAAATAATAATTAATATGTCTTGAAAGAGAATGCTAACAAATTTTGATATAGTAAAATATTATAAATAAACTCTAACAAAAACTAATGTGTCTATATATACATATATTTTGAAAATTTTACCTAATTATTAATTTATAATATTGATGAGACCATATATTTACAAATGATTTTCAAAAAAATTATTATCTTATTATTTTATCGAAATGTGTCTAATATTACATTGGTCCCAACTTGGGACCGAAGAAATTTATTAATTTATAGAAATTATTAATTTATCGAGTATTAATTTATAGAGGTTTTACTGTATAAAGGAAGGAAGTTTGACTAAACATTCCAATTTCCAGTAACAATACAACCATACGTATAAAGTTGAAAGAGTACTTTATAAATTAGCCATGAATTTTAATAAATTACGTAAATAACTATGTTTTTCTTTTTGTATACAAAATACACACGTCTGAATGACTTATATATGACTGTGTATGTAGATTACAGTGAATTAAGACGAGTCAAAGATACAAATTAGATAGTTTTGTAGTTTCTGGCGACATTGACAATGATTAATAATAAAATGACTAGTACTAACTAATAAGCAATATATATGTTATTTAATAAGCAATATATCTGTTATCAACTAAATCTTGTTTGATATTGATCATTTATCATTGTTGGTTCAATGGCAATTTTAAGCAACATATTTCAGCAGCTAGCTGTTAATAAATTCTAAATTTTCAAAAATTAACATTGTAAATTTTAAATTTGGTGAATCGTTATCACTAACAACTACAAATAGGAGTAATTAATACGATTTTATCACTGTAATCAATTGTTCACAAACTATAAAATGAACATAATATTAATTAATAATCAATGTCGCTGAAGTTTGCGAAAACGAACGTGGTAATAATTATATCCAAAATGGAATACATGCATGTAAAGACCCATATCTCTCTAAGTACTAATGTGGTTTGTAAAATCGATTTTAACATCTACCAAGAGATAGATTTGTAATCTTGTTTTTCTCTTCTTTTTTTTTGTCAAGATTATTTGTAATAAACTTTTTCATTATTCTAATGATTTTTACATTTAAGTAAAAAAAAAAAAAAACATCTACCTACTGTCCATACCGTCAAATAATTAATAAATATTCACAACAACTGATCTTAAGCAAAAACCACATAAGTTCCCTCCTAAAATATTTAAATCACTATCACAATAAACAAACTTTATGCGATCAGTGAGAAGTTTAATGGAAACATTTGGGATATACAAGAAAAAAAAAAAAAAAGATCGAAAGAAGAAGTTTTGGTTTTGAAAGTTTCGGACTTCACACTGCGGGAAGATGACGGAACACTTCTTGTCCGAAATCTGACGTGGCAGATTATAACGGCTACTTTGTAAACTCACAAATTTTTTATTTTACTTTTAATAATTATAATAACACAAAAAAAAAAAATCGAAGAGAGACGTTAAGATTTTGCATGTGACCCTTTTTTTTTTTTTGTAAAATTCAAAATTTATTTAAGACAGAACAAAAAACAACACAAACAATAAGAATTTTCCTCGAATTAATGGACCACAATAACTACATTTCTTCTTCTCTATGATCTCCTCTGCTTCCTTTTTTCTGGGTATCTAAAAAAAAAATTCAATCTTTTTTTCTTCTGTGTGTGGCGAAAATGGAGGATAATAGCTGTATTGGGTTTGAAGGGTCGAGGAGATTTGGTGAGAGTAAACGGATCGTTGGTTTGATTGACTCAGTGACTGAGTCCACTACTGATTCAAGTCTTAGCAGCTCAAGTTGCGGTGCTGGATCGAGCTCCGGGAGGTCCTCTGTGGCTGAGAGATCTGTTTCGTCTCCGTCATCTCCTCCGACGAAGTCACAGATCCTTGGATGGCCGTTAGGCCAAGGTTCTTGGAGGAAGAGTTCTGGTAAAATGAAGAAGAAAACTCCTACAAAAATCAACGATTTGGGGTTTAAGAGAGTTGGAACAGAGACTTCAGGTTTGTGGAAACCGTGAATTAAATTAGCTAATCATCTCTCTCGAAAATGATTTGAAATCTGACTCTCTTTTTTTTGGTTTGTGTAGAAATTGAGCTGTTAAAAGAGAGAATGGCCAAGTTGTTGCTTGGTGAAGACATGTCTGGTTCTGGTGAAGGAGTTTGTCCTGCTCTGGCTATTTCTAACGCCATTACCAATCTTTATGGTAGTAGTTTCATACTTTGGTTTGTGAGGTTTTATGTGATACTTCAGTAGATTCGTGTTTCTAACTTTTGATTCCAATATGATGAAAGCTGCAATTCTGGGGCAACAGTGGAGGCTAGAGCCAATCCCTAGTGAGAAAAAAACCATGTGGAGAAGAGAAATCGAAGTTCTTCTTTCTGTTAGTGATCACATTGTTGAATTGGTACCTTCCTTTCAGAATTTCCCCAATGGAAACAAGATTGAGGTAATTTGACTTAAGTCTACACCTTTAGTGAGATTGAGTCATGTATGCAGATTGTGGATAAAATTGTCACTGAGTAATTGTGTTCTGTTTCATTTATGTTTTGGTGGGAATTAAGGTGATGAATTGCAGACCAAGATCAGATCTCTTTACTTGTCTTCCTGCTCTTCGGAAGCTAGACAATATGCTTATTGTAAGAATCTGATCCTTCATTCTTGTCCTCATGAGAGGTTTCAAATGGCTAATGTGAGTACTTAATCTAGTTCTGTTTTTGACGTCTTTAGGAAATATTAGATAGTTTTGGAGAAACAGAGTTCTGGTACGTCGATCAAGGGATAGTAGCTGCGGAATCTGCAAGGTCTAACTCTTTCCGTGAAGACGGAGACAAATGGTGGCTTCCGCTGCCTCGTGTGCCATCCGATGGACTCACCGAGCAAGCTAGGAAGAAACTGGATCACACTCGCGAATTCACTAACCAAATCTTGAAAGCTTGTATGTCAATCAACAGCATCGCTTTAGCTGAAATGGAGGTTCCTCAATCATACCTTGAAGCTCTACCAAAGGTTAATTAAAACTTTAACTCAAAGCCAAATTCTCAAGTTGTTGAAATTACAACTTGTTTATAGCTGAATTGTTCTTATTTTTCAGAACGGAAGATCATGCCTTGGTGATTTTCTGTATAGAAACATCACATCAGATAACTTCTCAGCCGATTACTTGCTTGAATCGATAGATCTTTCATCTGAGCACGCGGTTGTGGAAATGGCGAATCGAGTAGAAGCATCAATGCACGTTTGGAGGCGAAGACCTCACTCGAGGCATCTGATTTCTCTGTATCGATCCACAAGTACAAGGTGGGGGATGATAGTGAAGGAGATGATGATGCATCAAACAGATGGTGAAAAAAGGGAAATATTTGCAGAGAGAGCAGAAAGCTTACTGATCCGTCTCAAGCAGCGTTTCCCGGGACTTAGACAAACAGCTTTGGACACAAGCAAGATCCAATATAACAAGGTTTGATTCATTGTCTTTTCCGATCAGACTTATAATAACATGTAAAGAAATGAAATCTAAACTTTGAAAGTATTGAACTTGTTTGCAGGATGTAGGGAAGTCTATACTTGAGAGCTACTCAAGGGTATTAGAGAGTTTGGCGTATAGCATTGGTGTACGCATAGAGGAAGTGTTGTTCATGGATGACATCAGCAAAGATGTTGGTGGGGATGATGATTCATGTTCAGACAAGTTGAGGTTGTTGTCTAAAGAAGCAGCTAATGGTGGCTCAGGCTCTCTAAGGAAGAAACTTTCTGCTCCATCGTTGTTCTCTGTGTCATTCTCAGGCACGTCAACTCCTTACAGAACTCCATCTTTCTCTGCATCGACTCCAAGTTATTCACCAATGCCGTTGATAAGCCCCATCAGCGGAGGAAGAGGAGAAAGAGCTCCGTTTCTCTCAGGGAGGAACATTAGAGAACGTTGTGGGTTTGGTCCAAAGAAAGCATTGGCCAACTATCTCCGGGGATGAATGTTAAAAAGAATATGGATTTACATTATGTTATTTTGAGTTAAGAGCTTACTCATTAATTCTTGCCTGTATCACACAACACGTTCTTTATGTTGTTGTCTTGTCAAGGGTTAAGAACCAGTACTATTTGTTTTCTATGTATCTGTTTATTAGATCAAACAAGGGTTGAAAGACCATCTGCTTTTGAGTGTGAAACACCAGGGTTACTCGATCGATCCCTATAAGTCTCACCACTTTTTTTTTTAGAGAAGTCACAAACTTAGTGATATGATATCTTGAACCTTTGATCCCGAACCCATATTTATTTTCTCTGTAGATGAGATGAATGTGTAATTCAATTTTTGATTGTATTAATGCACACAGAAACACTTATTGTATAGGGTATTTATATATTCATCACACACAGAACAGAAGAATATACTTTTACTAATAGCACATACTCTTATCCATTATTCATTACACATGTAGCATCATCACTGCATCGTGAAGCATATAGCATCACCACTGCATCGTAAAGCATCTAGCATTACACGTAGACCCTCTTATACAAACATATTTTTCGATTACAGACACTATATATTAGACAAACATTAATTGACTAAAAAGGAACCAAACATTAATTTCATCAGGAAGAGACTTCTCTTAGTATTGTAGCACATTTGTTCGTAAACAACATGAAACAACATGTCAAGATCAATCCCCCTCTTCGTTTAGACAATATACTCAACTCTTTTGATTTCTAAAGACCTTTCTATAATTTATAGGTTGTACTTTCTTTTATCATATAGCGACCCTTCAAATTTCATATTAAGATAAGACGTTTTATGTTGTCTCTTGCTTGCCTGCAAAATGTTCACAAAGAATATAAGTTTTTTTTCTGTCCTTTATGAAAAGAAATTACGACAAGCATTGGGTATTACGTACCTTATCACAGGTATTCGTAAATAAGGATTGCTAATTGCTAGTAATAAAGCGACCCTGCACCAAATAGAAAGATTTTATTGTTAAAAAAAGTAGTAAATAATTTTATTTTTTTGATAGGAAACGTTACCTTCCCACCAGTTTCCTCTTGATGCGCTTTTGGAATCACCTTCCTCTCCATCTTTTTTGTACTGCATAAGTTAAAGATAGAGATGAAATTAAAACACAAATCACAATCTTGAAAGTACAAAAAAATAAGATTTGTTATATATGTAGGTGTTATGTATATGATAGATGTGACTATGACTTACAGTATCTTGGGTGGTAGCCGTTGTGGAGGAATATTTCTCTTGGCCTCCATAGTAAAGGGACGAACTCAAGTTGCATGGTGGTTCTGTTTCCTCTTTATATGAACTCCTTTTCTCCTTTTTTCTGCTTCTTTCTCCTCTCTCAATATCTACGCATATTTATAAGTTTCAATATGATAACTAGAATAATTAGTAAAACATATTTAATGGAGACAGACCCTAAACTTGACTCATATATAGACATTCTACAAATTTCTTTATCAACAAAATAACTCAATGAAAATTTAATTACTTGGAGTTTGATTGTTCACATGTCCACCTTGATTTGCAAACTCCACTTGCCTCCCCAACTGATCCTTTTTAGTCCACAACACGAGAAAATTAGAGAGTAGTTCAACGTAATTGTTATATATTATTGAGTTAGAGCCGCTCCTAATTAAGGATCATGTATATGTAGCATGCATGTGTTTACAATGATTCACGTATCGCACAAAATGTAAAAGTATTGATGAGATGACGTACTGCAGAGGGTGGTGGGAAGATGGATTTGAACAAGCCAGCAGTACTGGCCGGTGAAGAAGACGAAGAAGAGACTCGTGGACCAAATATATGATCGAAAGACGAAGAAGCTGAGGACGAAGATGAAGCGGAAACAAGCTTCTTCTTGTTCTTGCTCTTGTTCTTGTCCATGCCAAAGTTGTGTAGGTGGAAATGTATATATGTATTAAAGGAAAAGGCCTAGGTGTGAAGAAAAGAGAAAAGGATATAAATTTGCACAGAGAGAGGCGAAGAAAGGAGAGAACATGTGATGAAACAAAAGAGAAGGAAGACACGTGAAGATTTGCAGTTTTTTTATGGGACTCTTATAAAACTGTCATCTCTGCAATATTTATAGTTGAAAACTTTGACTACATGTGATCGGTCTTCTAAGATTACTTGTCGCATATATTATTATATGCTTCTTCTTTTACTTTGATTTAACATTTAAGAAAAAGATGAAATATGGACGAATTAAAAAAAAAAAAGGTAATTATTTTGGTTATGAATGTAGGCTTTTTTAGAGGCTTTTTTTTTTGTCCTTTTCCCTGAAAACAGTAAGAGGAAATATCTTCCGTAAGAACAATTCTATAACTTGTTTTTATTTTTCGGAATGTCAATTTCTTAACTCTAAATTTTCATGGCACTAAAAATTCTTCGACGACTTTATAAGCAGAAAAGTCTCTTGGCCCGATCCTAAGAAGTTCTGTATATATAGATTTTTTTTTTTTAAATGTTTTGTTTGATTTCCATATTGGCTCAAACTTCCAACATATTTGTATCATTTATATTTTCTCTTTTTCATATATGTCTTGTTTCATGGGTTTAGTTTGTGTTTCATTTCATCATGATTGAGTTGAGTGAGTACACATTTTCTCATGGATTATAGTTACAGTGTTTGGTTGTTGTAAAATATAAAGAAAGATCTAGAGTTACCGTTTTGGTTGTTAACCTTTATTAATTTTCACATGTCTCTATAAAATATATATGGAAGAATAATGTTATATTTAGACACAATCAACACACTAAAACACTTGAATCTATGAACCAACAGTTCCAAACATATGCTTTTATGATGTATATAATCTTCCTAATCACTAAATTACTAAAACTTGATATCTATACCTAATTCCATGTATAGCCTTTTCTCTCAGTCGACAAGGCTCCAAATGTGACGAATACAATATATAGTTTTGGTTTCAATCAAAGATCAATCTTTAAATTTCAATATAAGATCTATTCACCAAAGACTATCACAAGGAGTTTTTCAAGCTTCAAGTAATACCCATATCGATTTAAGGATATATATATGCCCATATAATATAAGTTTCATTTTCGGTCTTTCGTAAAGCAAAACTAATTTTATATATGTTTTCCTTATATATGAAAAAAGGAAATATTAACTCTTCGTTACACGGTACGTACGCTACCAAAAGTGGTGATCGTATTCGTATCAAATATAGTAGAATCCTCGAAAACCATTCCCATGAGTGACCTAATTTCGTGCCCACAATAAAAAGTCAATGAAGATATATGAAGCAAACAATATATGCAAAATGCTCTCCAAAGTATTTGTAAATTACTTTAGTTCTAGAACATCATAGTTCTGTAACTGTGTGTACACTTTCCAAAGGAATCAATAGATCCATTTTTTAACAAAAGGAAAAATGTTCTAATGTATAATGTTATATATATATAATGCGTACGTAGGACTATAATACTTTTATGTATAGTTCTGTTTTACTTGAATTGAAACAATTTCTGTAAAAGGCCTCTAGGATTAGTTGAAAAACATTTTAGGTCGAGTGGCATAAAAATTCCAATAATAAATCAGCGTAGTTGATGAAAAATAAAAACAAAATATTATAACGTTTTTTCCCCTAATTGGTCCACAATTGTTTTGTTTATAGGTTATGAACAACAAATCAAAAAATATACATAACGTTTTAATGTACAAACGAAAACGTTTAGAGGGAAGTACCAAGTCTGAAAAGAATTAACGGATGGATGAATATTTTGTAATCGATGAATATTACATCACTATAACAGTAACTGTTGTCATAAGCTTTTTTACTTGTGTTGGGGAATATAAGTATCTGAATTAGGACCAGAAGATCGATAAGGTCAACGATAGATTCGCTACAGTGATGTAATAATATGCATCAGACATCATGAATACCAACGGTTTTGACTCTCTATGTTGTCTTCGCAACTTGCAAGTTGTGTGATTCATACAACGTAAACAAGACAAAACAAAACAAGACAAAAATTGATTTTCAAGTTGTGGAATCAACGTAAATAAAAGGATACATCGTTCGACTAATCGTAAGGGTTATTCTCAAAATTATCAGATTTTTATATTTATTTCAGATGTAGTAACTTTGTTTTTCAAGTTTAAGGTTTAAGCACTGTTAAACTAAGATTAGTTCTATATATATGCTGCTTAGATCTTTCCACAAAAAGCTGCTATTGCATGTCCACTTGAGATATATAGATTTGAGTAATCGGAATGAATTAACAAATGTCGGGAGGATAAGATTCTAGGAAATGGGACATGAAGAATGTCGGGGGAGAGAAGCATAGCCACAGATAATAAATTCATATGTTTATGGCCAAACATATATTCTTTCTGCTCCTATTGTTGGAAACTTGGACCAGAGTACCATTTATAAACCTTATTCTTGATTGATATTAGATTTGGCCATTTGTTAAGTACTTTTTAAGTTGTAAAGTACACTTATTCTTTTCATCAATTCCTGGATTATACTATATAGTTTACATTTTTTTTTTCTATAGTTTACATTCTTTAGAGAATCTTTGGGTAAGAAAGCTAACAGTAGAAGGCTAGAAGCCATCTGTTTAAAAAATACTACTTTTACAATAAAGACAATAAAAAGTAGTAGTGAACCAAGCCAAAACCTGAGAGATCATTTTTAAAAAAAGTGAGCATACCCATAGACCATGCACAATTATTTACCAGCTGATATAAAAATCAGTGTTGCTATATTGTAATGACTACTTTCTCACCATTACTCTTGGACACAAGGAGAGGGCCAAGAAGTGGGGGACAAGGTTTATAAAATATATTCTCAACATACTAGAGAAAACTGCTAACTACTGTCTGATATTAGAGATACGAATTAGTAAAACAACTCTAAACACCCTGCTCCTTATGTTCACTCCTTTACTTTCATGCACGAGCCTATCCAACTTTTGTTACTAAACCAACTCTTGTCTTTCTTGCTTTCATGCCTCACTGGTTCCTGCATATCAATGTTTTTCACCATATCTTTGTAAGAAAATCATTTGTGTTTGATAAAACTCAAAACCTGTGGACTTTACGGTGAGGAGAACTCAACCGTGTTTTATAGGACTAGTTACTTGTACAAGTACGAAAGGAGCAAAACCGTGGATTCACAGTAATAACCGATCAGATATAGATATATACTCAATTCATGGGGTAACAGAGAAAAGGGTGTAGGAGATGATGAGCTAAAGGCAACATATCACTCAGAAACCATGATAACCAATCTAATGAAAACGTATATGCAAATCTCAAACAACATTAAGATTCAGAGAAGGCTCTTTACCGGTTCATTTTGAAGTTGGTTGTTCTGCTGTATATTCTCGTTTGGACTTGGGGAGAGAACCATCGCCTGAAATCACACAAAAACAGGCTGAGAACATTACACAACAAGAGTTCGGAAACCAGAATCAATATACATCAAAACAGTAACAACACCAACCTCAGGGCTAGTGCTGTTATTGGCCTCTTCTTGGATCAAACTGGAAAACAAGAAGGACGCAAAAACAAAAACACATATTAAATCATAGTCTACATTGTGGATTAACCAAAACAGATCACCAAGCTATGATTGTATATACCATATATTTGTATCATCTGAAAACAACTCTGGATGCAACGTCTTTGCCATGTTCATATAAACCTCAGTAAGATGCTACAATCAATCAAGACAACATAAAGGAACATGAAATCTGCTTCTAACCCCAAGTCCCAGAGTATATAAACCCTAAATCAAATCGAGACTGAAACATATAGTAACAATTCGAATAACATTTAACATAAATCTTACAGAGATTGGTCCTTGGAGAGTATCAATCTCATATTTGGCCATCTTGATATCAAACAGAGTAGCGAAATTCAAAAACGAAGAGATCTTGCCCTTGGGAATAGCTTCCTTCTTTCGACGCAATAAGTCTCTGATAGCTTGTAGTTGAAGCTCTGTAGACTTCAATGTCCCACCGATCGCCAAAAGACCTGTTATACTGAGCTCTCCATCCACTGAAAAAGAAAGGGGAAAACAAAAAAACAAAAAATCAGCGAGTGGGGAAGAAATGGAGAAACAACAACACAATGTTCAATTCGACTTACTGCTCTCAGAGTCGAAGTAAGTTGATGCGACTCGTCGATCAAATCGTACAGAGAAGATATCAAAGAGCTTAAGGAAGGTTTAGATCCACCATTTGCTTTCATCTTCTTCTTCTTTTCTTCTCCAAGTGTATGTGTGTAATGTATGAATGAGAAAATTAAATACTGTAATGCCAAAAAATACCCAATTTCTAATTTTCCCTCCTTTTGTTTAACTTATTTTATTTAGTTAAAAATATTAATTGACTTTACTCTTTAGACAATTTTCGAAGAATTATCGATTTATGTTATTTTAACATTGCAAGTTTAAAAACACCCGTTCCAATTTATCAATTGGGCATCTAACCTAAAATGGGCTTCTGAGCCCAATAATAAATCCATGAAAATATTCAGACTAGAGTGATTGTTGGGACTCGCGGTGAAGCGAGAACCCTCCAAAAATAGGCGTATGCCATTTAGCGTGGAGAGCACACGGTATTCTTTAGTAAAAGGCGAAAGAATAGTTCGCTTTGTGCTCACCACATGGCTGCGTGATTTTTTACACTGGGAGAGTGAAGTTTATTTATACCAAAACTTTCAGTAGCAAACTTGTTAGCCTTCCGATGTGGGATTCCCGTGAGAAGCTCCTTTGTTAAAAGGCTTTTTGGGGATACTTAAGCCCATTACGATTCTCTTTTACATCATTTACAAAAATTCCAACATCGTTATGGGCCATTAACTAGGGAGTATATTAATTTCAAATCCGCTAATTCAATTTATATATATTAACCAACAATGCATATAATAAATATTCTACATTTCGTATACATTTATAATTTTCCGCTTCTTGGTTTACAGTTTCTCACTTTCTCTCCTCTCACCAAAAATAGACACCTAAAAAACCTAACAACATTTTAAACTGTTATAGCTTTGAGGAAAGATCCTTGAAGTAAAGCTTTAGTGTCTCGTACGTCATGAAGCAAATCCCAACACCGGGTACCACTTTGTAGTACTCGGGAAGGATTCCTCTGTACAAGCCTCTTGCTCCTTCCGTCTGAACAATACGCTTTAATGTCCCTAGCAAACCTGTCTTGTACACTACCTCTCGCCCGCCTATTCCTTCTAGCTGTTTCCTTCTTCTCACCAGATCCAATGGAAACGTAGCTGCAATTATGTTTTGGTTACATTAGATATGAAGTTAGATGCAGTATGAGATAAGCTTCATTAGGAGGATATACACCATAAACCAACCGTGAACAATCAGACTCGACGTGAAACTTGTATAAGGGCCAAAAGAGAATGATATAGGTAACCATAGTTTGTGTTTCATTGAGCAAATGAGACATTATATGAGTAACCACACTTAATAGAAGTAAATTCCTCACATTAAACTATGTTCAATGCTTGAAGAGAAAAATCAACTAGAGAAGAGCATGGTAATCAAACAGATTTGCTAGAGACGGAAGCATGCATATGAGAAGAAGCAACATAGTTTTCATTCTGTGGCAATAGTGGAATTTACGATGCCCCATGTTTAGCTATTCTGAATTGAAAGCATAGTACAGAGAATTTTTGAGTTTGAGATTACTGATATAATACTTGTCAGAAATACAAACTTGATTAGTACTCATGCTAAGTCAATCAGTGTTTATGAGCAAGGGATAGAATGACAAATTATAATCAAACAGTGAGGGAAACAAGAAAGAAAAAGGTCAAAGAATAGCGAAGATGGCTACCTGTTGAAGATGCTATTCCTGAAAGACTTCCACAAGCTAGACTGACCATGATAGGGGAATCATGGGGCCTTGAGAAAAATGTAAACAAGCAAATTAAATCACTTTAGAGTAATAATAATTAGGAGACATAGTGAAACTGCAAAACTGTAATTTTGAGATCGACTTATTACCTAGTTGACCTCCAATAAGATCTCAATGATTCATACACAGAAAAGCTAATGGCAATACTAGGCCCAACACCCTGTATCAAATAACAAAACTTTAGTCAGGAAAAAATGAAAGTGGAAGGATACAACACTTATGAAAGTATGTATCTTTCTGTGGAAAATACCACAAGCGTTGTTCCAAGTCCCTTGTAGAGGCCCAAGATACCTTCATCAGTGCTGATAGTGCGCAGAGTATGCCAGATACCCGTGTAGTAAATTACTTTTGTCTGCCATTAATTCAAAAGATAAAATGTCAATGACCAGCTGATGCAACAATGCTTCAGAAAAATCAGCATGTGAACTTAGAACACATGGTTTAACTTATGTTCAAAATTCCAACCTGAGCAGCAAGACGAGTTCTAACAAGATCAAGTGGATACGTGGCAGAAGCAGCTGTGATTCCAGCCAACCCACCGGCTACAAAATGTACAAAAAGGTTTGAGCTTATACTCGCCTTGTGATTTTCCATCCCAGTAACCATATACATGAACTGTAAGTAATCGAGTAAAAAAGTTCAAAATCAGAATTAGGCTCAGTGGAGAGTAATGCCACACTATGAATGAAAAAAAAAAAATACTGCTAGTTATAGATTCTCAGACCTTCTTGTAGTGTTCATATGCGTAGAAATTGACAGAAGAATATGGAAGCCGGTGAGCAATAGTAACCAGATTCCCTTTCCAAAAAGCCTTCAATCCTTCTTCATTCAAAATCCGTGATGCCTCGTGCAATATGCTTGCCTTTCTTAGAGCTCCAGCATCGGAATGCATACCTTGCACCTAGATACAGAAGAAGTGTATAATCAGAAATTTGTCCAAAAGAACATAACACAAAGTTACCTTTTTAAGCATTCACAAGTGTAGCTAAGAAGGTTTGGGATAATCAACCAGTACTAGATTTTTTCTCTTTACACAGACCTCAATTCAGCTTTTCAAATCTACAGATCCCCAAATCGTTTGATTAGCCCATTACACAGAGCAATTGAAATGTTGAATTGGTCTTACTTCAATAAATCGACAATTGGGTGGTTCTAATGCAGCAAAAGCTTGAATTTTTCTTCTCCTCGGTCGATGAAAAGACAAACCTGGAAGAGAATGGTGAGGCGAGAGAGAGGGGCAGTGCAAGTCTTGCTAAAAGCACCAGCGAGTCCACCGGCTAAGAGCTGTGACGCCGATTCGATGTGTGATCTCTGGTCCTGCGTTAAACGATGAGACGAAGACGCTACGCCATGCCCTGAGCTAACACCAACCCTAGCTTCCGTCTGCATCACCATTTAGCCGCCCAAAATCCAAATCTTTTCAATCTCCTCAACCTTTCAAAAATTCTGAATCTCACCTCCGAGAAGCTTATCCAGAAACAATACCCAAGCTTGAAATTTTCGAGTAAAAAAGAACGAAACTTTCAAAGATCTCTTCGTATACGTTTTTGACTGAATTGCTTTGCTTGAAAGTTTTGGTTTTGTCTCTCTTTTTGTGTGCCTCTCGTCTTTTTTTCCAATTTTTCTTTCTCTGCTTCAAGACTTAGTACGCTTGGTTCCAACGCCACACCTACACGGCAAACACTAACCACTGAAACGGCAGCGTTTTAGCTACAACGAACGTTTTACCGCCACGTGATTCACCTCTTGTTTCCTTCTTTTTTTTGGTGAGATTCCTTTTCCATTGTTACATCCACACTTTAAAAGCTTAGGCCTGCAATGATTTAACATTGGCGTCGTCGGTGGTATCACATTTGAAAGCGTTGTATAACTTGTAAGATTTTGTTGGACCTTTACTAGTGTTTTTATTCAGCACGTGTTTTGTTTATCTTTTGTTGTTCAATCATGTCTCAATATCTTTTCTTTCCGGTTGTTACATCACATTGAGATATAACTATTACAGGCAGAGAGAGACATATAGTATATTCATTTCCTGATTAATCTCAAGAGATCACCCACCAAATGTAATGAGCCAGTTACCAACACCTAACACCCAAAATAACAAAATCCCAATTAGATTGACCACTTTGTCACACCTGAAAAAAAAAATTCTGAAACCAGCGTTATACGTGAAGTTACATAATGTTATAAACATGTACTTTTGTTATTTACCTGAAAACGAACTTGTTTACTTTGGCGAGCATTGTCCCGGAGCCAGGCAACGGCCAAAGGAAGTGACGAGAAAACAAAACTCTTCTCTTCTTGTTCGCCTTTAGAAACACTTGCTGAATTAGATTTTGCTCCACCTCGTGCCAAACTGTCCCAAAGCCTCTGAAGACCGAACTGCCACGCTATTGAATCCACACGTCTGTCATTGTTCGACGAAAGTCCCACTTGGTTGTACACTGATACGTTTGGCACAAAAACGGCTCTCTTGAAATTCACTCCTACAACAGTTGAAAAATCTTAGCTGATATTTCTTATAAAATCCTAGAAAGAGCACTGTTTGTATCATCATAACATAGTCATAAACTGTTAGACACACCGTGATCAATGCATTTACTCCTTAGTCGCGGAAGAAGCAAACTCGGGTCACGAACAGACATACAATTGAACAAGAGTATCTGCATTTTGTATAACCAACATAAGATCAACATATTGAGGTCTCTAAGACACAATTTTGTAAAAAGCTTTCTTTACCTGCTCTGATATTTTCTGGCTTCTTTCTTGGTTCTGTTTGATCTGTTTTGAAAACCATATAGCGCAGGCTTCCATGCTTTCAGGACTGTGAGCTCCATCAAGGTAATACACAATCTCCTCAGGAAGTTCTGAATCAGGCACGACCATAGCCCGTCCGATCAAATAAGCATTCGACAATCCAGAGATGAATTTTTCGGGTAAACCACTCTGTTTTGAAGTAAGAAAACCGTTACTACTTAACAGAATTTTCACAAACTTAAGAGTGTTTTTCATTGTTTCAACATACTCTCTGATTCAAACCATTCTTCTCCTCAATACCAATCTCTTTTAGAAATGTAGAACACAACGCAACCGCAAGGCCAGCGTTTAGATATTGATGTTCGCCTTGAAGCCCGAGTCTCTGACTCGAATCTAACGGTTCCACCACCTGGAGATTTACCTGCAAAAAGTAGTGATTAACAGCCTTACATATCATCTTAACCATCTACATAATGATGTGGTTGTTTTGTGTAATCTTACCTCCAATTTTGAAGCTTTCTCGTTGAGTACACGCATTGC